GTTTGTAAAAAAAGTGTACACATTTTGATTAACTTTTTTTAATAGAGCATCCTCTTTTGGGACATATCTTTAAAAACTATTTAAATAACATAAATCTATATATATCTCATAGATTGCCAATTTTAATAATTACAATGATTTAGTAATCATATTTTATTTTAACTTTAAGGAGTATTTTCTTGCCAATTATAATTATAACAGATTGCAACATGATTATAAAGTGCATATTTCAATTTGTTTGCATGGTGAATTCTAACATCGTTAAACTCTTAGCTATTAGGGAACCCTCATAGTTATATCTTCATGATCCATCAGTGAGGTTCAAGTATGGTTGAGAACGACTTTTAAGCGATTATTCGGGGGTGAATGTTGATAATGCTTCATGGGATTTAGACAACATTGCAAATGAAATATGTTCTTTCAAGATTAGCTTACAAAAGATATATATATATATATATATATATATATTTGCATAGAAGAAGAGAATTACAATGCTATAAACAACTTGGCCAATATGGCAACGATTACATATGTGGATTTATATGCTCGGTTAAGTTGAATTTTATTAGCTTTATATTGCCACAGATTCTTGTAAATCACATTTTTATTTTCCGTGAGAAGAAATACTATTTTATTGAATATGGGTATTGAGTCCATTGCTTGTATAAGTCTTTGAGTTGAAGCATTTTTGTTTTTTCAACTAACTTTGCTTTATGGATGTAGGTTATTGAATAACTAATTTATTCAAGATTATACTTTCTAATTTGAAGTTTTTTAATTAACACATAAGTTTTTTTATTGAGGAGAGTTGTTGTTTTTTTCCCCTTAAATTGTTATATTGATGCATTGAAATCTATGTTGTTTTATCATATATATATATATATATATTCATTCATTTTTTTTTTAAAACTAAAATATTTTGGATGAGCGTATAGTGTTAGTAAATATATGTTCCTCAATTTGTTTCTCATCTTCAACATCTGTACGTTAAAATCATTAAATCCATTGAATTCTTTAACTTATTGCCAACTTTTTAGAAATTCAATTACCAAGAAAACCTACCTACATGTATATAAACATAAACTCAGTCCACAAAAATGATAAATAAAGAACACAACTCTTTAGTTGTCCACTAATTTACAACTACTAAAATAATAAGAACCATAATAAATTTGTGTTAATTAGTTGTTGGGTTTTATTACCTCCACGTATTAATAATCAAATCTATATATAATTAATTTTTAGTTACTTGATTTATATGAATGGTGAATGCAGATTCCACATATAAAAAACTCAGGCATTCGTTTTACCCATGAGGTAGTATAATTAGAGATACCTATTTATTAATTCCTTGTAATTAACATGTTAATTATAATTAGGTATAAGCCGACAGAGAACCCCAATACTAAAAAGAACGAAGTATCTCCTCCATGCATGCACAGTACGTACGTTCCCAAATTGGGTTTACTTAACTACCTTAACCGTCTTCTTACCAAACAAAAAATTGTCATAACAATAACCAAAACAATAATTTTAGAACTGAAAAACCTAAAAATCATCAAATCTATCATGTTGTCCCCTTCGTATACACACACACACACACACACACACACACACACACACATATAGTTTAGTCTTAAAAAAGTCTGCCAGCAGCCTCCAAAATCCAATCCTCCACTTTTAACGCCTAAATATAATCATTTATATATATAAATATATATAATTCTTGACGTTTGGATTCTTTTTTGTTTGTTGGGTTTTCGAACTTTTATCTCTCCCCAACAATTTTCTAAACCATTGGATAAACTGTCTCATTAATTAACTCTCCATAACCAATAATCAGTTAAATCTCCATGGCTGATAACCAAATTCTTCTTTAAAAATCCTCAAACCCCCAAAAACCTGAGCTAGGTACAGGATGGCCTTCCTGAGCTCCTCCACCAGTACTACTCTCCTACTTTGCTTTGGCCTCCTGTCCCTCCTCCTCCTTGATTCTCTCTCCACTGCCGTCCGCCTTGGCACGGTTATCCACAAACCTTCTCCGTCAAATTACCTTCCCATTTTCCGGGAAGCTCCAGCCTTCTGGAATGGTGAAGATTGTGGGTTTGATCAGATTCATGTAGCCATGACTCTTGACGCTAATTATTTGCGAGGAACCATGGCTGCCGTCTTGTCCTTGTTGCAGCATTCAACATGTCCTGAAAATCTCTCCTTCCATTTTCTCACTGCTCATTCCGAGAACGAGCTGGTTTTGAGCATAAAAGCAACATTTCCTTACCTGAAATTTAAGATATATCGATTCGAGAGTAACCGAGTTCGAGGCAAGATATCAAAGTCGATACGGCACGCGTTGGATCAGCCTCTAAACTACGCGAGAATATATCTTGCAGACATATTACCTCACAACGTGGAAAGGGTTATTTACTTGGATTCCGACCTTGTGGTGGTGGATGATATAGCGAAGCTATGGGATGTGGAAATGGAAAACAAGGTGGTGGCAGCGCCGGAATATTGCCATGCAAACTTTTCGCAGTATTTCACAAATGCTTTCTGGTCAGACACAGAAATGGCGAAGATATTTTCAGGGAGAAAGCCGTGTTATTTCAATACAGGAGTGATGGTGATTGATGTGGAGAAATGGAGAAGAGGTGGGTACACGCAGAAACTGGAGTTCTGGATGGGGGTGCAGAAGATGAAGAGGATTTATCAGTTGGGTTCTCTGCCCCCATTTCTGCTTGTTTTTGCTGGGGAAATGAAGGCGGTGAATCATAGATGGAATCAACATGGATTAGGTGGAGATAACTTTGAAGGAAAATGTAGGACTCTGCATCCTGGTCCTATTAGTCTCCTCCATTGGAGTGGCAAGGGGAAGCCATGGTTGAGGTTAGATTCTAGGAAACCCTGCGTCGTTGATTACCTCTGGGCTCCTTACGATCTTTATCGTTCATCAAAGCACTCGTTAGATGAGTAGTAAGAAATATATACATGTATATGTATATCTGATTAATTAGCATTTAGAAGTTTATACGTGAAAAGGCTCCATTTAGGGTTTGGATATATTCAAAGAGATAGTAGACACCGAGAGTGGGATTCGGCAATGATGATGATGAAGATGATCATGAGTTTCCTCTCTGCATTTTGTTCATGAATATGGAGCTTAACGAATTAGGTTTTACGTCCTGCGAATTAGAATGATCGAGGAGGGATTTTTATTTTTATTTTCTTTTGATTTGTTTATTATTTATTTGTTTAATTAATTTTCACCTCCTTGTTTAGGTTGGATCGTGGAGTGACCCATGAAAATTGTAAATTAGAAAGATGAACCGGAACATGTTCCGTGGTTCGAAGGATACACACACACACACGTATATATACAGTCCTTGGAAGAACTAATTAATTAGAGATGCTATCAACTTTTAAAGTTCTTCGGTGGTTGATCTATTAATTCTTATCCTGGAATTTTAGTTCTTTTTTATGTACATAAAATATGCCTCCCACAACATCGCGTGTAGTATACATACATACAAGCGATGTCGTTAAAAGTGTAACCTTGATGAGGACTCAATGGAGATCGTATATGGAGGCTATAGCTTAAATTATATTCAATCAATGTTGGATGAGGGGAAAAAAACACATGCACAGACAGCAGGTACCTCAATCGATTGCACCAGCTATTCTTTGTGAATGGAGCAGCAAAACAATGGTTGAACATCAATTCCTACATACAGCATATAAAGGAGAAAGAGTTGGCTTCAATCTCATTCTATATGTTTCAGTTCCACCAAATAAGCAGGGATATGATGGCTCAAAACAAACTCTTTAGAAGTTGATACTGTCTCAAAACGCTTATTATTTATATATATATATATATATATATATAGCAAATTACACCACAGTCTCCACGATCAATGAGTTTTAACTGCAATCACAAAGACTGATGCTTAGCTTTGAGTATGGCCAAACTCAAAGGCTTGAGCCTGGGAAAGTAGTCATCTAGCCTTGTGCTGGGCGATTTTCTGAGAGCAAGATCTGTAAATACATCTGCCAATAAAAATCTTCTTTCCCATCCAATGACAAGATTCTATGTTTCTGAAATGCTATCTACTCATTTATGCTTTTGCAGAGGCAGCAGATGGGCATTCACCTAATGTATTCCACAGAATATAATCCCCAGATGTAGCCTGTTGCAACCACATGTAAATAAGACAGAAAATTCAACTCTATCAAAGCAAATTCATATAAGCAATGGTAGATACCAATGTTCATTTCTTCTGTTCTTTTTTTTTTTCTTTTTTTAAATCAAATTTCTTCTATTTTCTTGATCTCTTAATTGTTTTATGGAACTTGGTGGATTTCCATCAGCAATTATTTCCAGGAAAAATGTTCCATTAGCAATGAGATGTATTAAGTCCTTTGCAGAGTGACTTTACTCTAAAAACTAAATCAAGGGAAATAAAACGAGGTTTAAAATCGACAAGCTAGTTGTTAAAATTGGACTACTCCAACCAATCCAAACGTGAACCAAACACCTAGCAGTTCAATTTAGCAAATTTATCAATGATAAACCTAGTGCCTAATTACAACTAGGTCGATTAGTTAAAGATAATAAAATAGCACTTATGTTTTGGACAAACATGACAACTTAGTCAACCACTGAAATCATTGTTAAAACACAAACAGGTCCTTTTTTTTTCTCCTCAAGAGAACACACAAAAAAACTCATCTAAAACGGAAATACATGAAATCTTGAAGAACATCAAAGTGCTCGTTAATCTGGTCAAAAACTCATCTAAAAAAGAAATATATGAAATCTTGAAGAACGTTAAAAAGGTTTTTGACCAAATTAGAAAGAACTTGGAGAACTGCGATCAAAGAAGCTTGACTGATCAAAATCTGTTCCCAATTTCAGTCAAGATCCTTCCATTTTCTTTCAATTTGTGCATTTTATTTTCTATAGAAGGCTTTCATGTGTCCTCTTGGAAAAAAATATTGGTTTATGCTTTAGTGCTGATCCTAAAGTTTACAATTAGTTTATTGGACTAATTTGTAATGTTTGTATAAAACATAAATACTAAACGTACTCTCATGGTCACCTTTTCTCTCATAGTGAAGTGACTTGGAAACTTTGGACCAAGTTTTACGACACTTTTGGGTTTATCCAGGTTTATACCTCTTCTATTCATTGTTTCTTGAGGTCTAATTTAAAAGACGATTGGGTTAGAGATGAGGACTCTATGGAGAGAACCCATTTTTTGCCCTTGCCTGTTATGGTTGGAGCATAATGCCAGAATTTCCATAGATCACTATACGCTTTCTCAGTTTCTGTGGAACAGACTGACTTTTTCTACTTGGCTTTGGGCCAAGTCTCATAATTCTGTCAGGGATCCTTTATTATCCATTCTAAAAAGAAATTGGGAGCCAATTTTGGATTGATTTTCTTCTTTCTAATTTGTTTTCTTTTCCTTATTTTTCTGGAGTTTTTTCAAGGATGTCTCATCCTCATCTTTGTATCAATTCTTTTCTCTGTTTTCTAACAATTTTTATTTTCTTATGAAAAATTTGTAATTCTGTCAAACTAATGGACCTGAATATAATTAAACCAAAAACTCAAAAACCTTCTTGTAATTTATCCCATATCAAATTAGCATAAAAACCCATCAACAATGGTCAAAACCAGCCAGTTCAGTTAAAACCAACCTCAGGATTTAATCATTTTTTTTTTGAAATAATTAGGATTTAATCATCTTGATCTTTTATTTCAAATTGAGCTTCTAAAGAAATATGAAAATTTAGCAGAATTTTTGAATTTGGGTGGTAATCTCTTGGTGCCTTGATTTACATATTCTTTTTTTTTTATTTTTTATGTAGTATAACATTTTTTGTTTCTGTATTTTTTCACTTAATAATTATCAATTGTACATGATTTCGTGTTTTCCTTTGTGATCTATTCACATTCCTCATGTGCCATCTTTTCTTTACAAAGGAAGAGAGCAAAGAGAGCGAAGAGTGAAGAGAGAGTTAGAGCAAAAAGAGAGAGAGTGAAGAGAGAGTGAAGCTTTTCACTTCAACAGCCTCTGGCCGGCCAATGTGGCCGACCATGTTGAGGGAGAATGTGGCTCAAACTGGAAGAAAAATCCTTGTAATTGATCACAAGTTGTTCGATTTAGTTAGCAAGGGCAGGAGGATGGACTGACCGAGAATAAGCCAGAATGGGTGAGGATTTCGGACTCCGATTTCCCTAGATAAGGTTGAGGTAGGATGGCTTTTGACGCTCTTGAGGATTCCTCCTGGAGGAAAGGGAGAGTTGCGTGGGCAAAGCACTTCATTGGAGAGAATCATGAACTCTGGATTTCGTTTGGCAGTAACAGGAGATGATTATTTCGGACTCCGATTTCCCTAGATAAGGTTGAGGTAGGATGGCTTTTGACACTCTTGAGGATTCCTCCTGGAGGAAAGGGAGAGTTGCGTGGGCAAAGCACTTCATTGGAGAGAATCATGAACTCTGGATTTCGTTTGGCAGTAACAGGAGATGATTGTATCTGGTGTTATCTGTGTTGTGGGGTAAAAATGTGAAGAGGATTTTTATTTTGGAGAGAATACAGGGGAGAGGCTGGTGGAGATTTATGATATCAGCACTCAAGCTCACAGATCGGCCCGTTGTCAACACTGAGGGTAGAGCGAAGACTAAGAGGATCCTTGGAAATGCTGTAAGAGCGGAACATGGACAAGCGGCATTGTGGAAAGCATCCTTTCAGTGGCCCCATTGCGGTGCCCATTCATATTTTGGCGGAGGTAGGAGGAGCACAATTCTATGCAGTGGCAGTCCAAACCAGGGGGGAGCCGATGAAGGGAGTAGGGCAGATGCGACCCAGGAGGAAGGCGGGTCAAGTCAATCCAAAAATTCAAAATAGGGGGAATGCCCGAAAAGCAAGGAATGCGTGTCGTTTTGGAGCTCGAGGTGTTGGTGGGCTAAGATGGTTCGACCCAGTTTGTGGATCACTGGTTGGGTCAAATGGGAGGAGACGATATACCCAAGCAGAAAAAGAGAAATGGATCGCGGAGCCTAGTTCGAAAGTGGTTAAGGCTGGAAGAAGCAGCCCAAAGCTAAAAGGATGGTGGAGGCCCGTGGGGAGCATCTCGGCCCGAGGTGAGCCATCGGGTTTGAGGGGGTTTAGGTGTGAAAACAAAATGATCGAAGAGATTTCTAAAGATGAGGGGAAATCAGAGAAAAGGGCCAAGGAAATGTTGGCAAGGATGTGCGGAGAGGATGGGCGGGAGGAGATGTTGACTCGGGAGAGTCCATCGGAGGCGAGAGTCGAAATTGTACCTTGTTTTTACTACGCGTGAAGTGTTGGAGGAGGAAGTCCATGGAGTCGATGCCATGGGATCCGTTGACTACAATGGCAGTGATCCTGTGATGGTTCTGGTGGAAGAGGAGGTTCAGATGGTTGTCTCAGCATCAGATCCCGACATTGAGGAGATTTTGAATGGAGTCGACTTGGTGGACAGTGAAGATGAAAGGAGTTCTCTGTGGGTTTTGCAGAACATCCAGAGATTTAACAAGATGATGGGAGTCTCTCTAGAAGGTATAGAAGATTAGGTATATTCTTTTTTATCTGAGATTGAAAAGAGATTAGCTAATAAAAAGGGAGAAGGATCAGTGTCCAAAAAAATAGTGTGGATACTCCGAGAGAATTGAAGAAATTAGAGTATTCCATTAATTATGATTGCCATAGAAAGGTGGTAAAGAAGGCGGGGGAGGTAAAACTAACGTCTTAAATAATTAGCAAAATTATATCTAGGAATGTGAGAGGTGTAAATGACAGAAATAAACGTCTTGTTATGGGGATGCCTTAGTAAGTGGAAACTGTTCTGCCTCCAAGAATCTAAAATGGAGGTGTGTTATGATGACGTCGTGAAGAGCTTGTGGAGAGAGAAGGATGTGGGGTGGGATTGTATCCTGACTAGAGACAGCTGGTGGGATTGTGTTATTATGGAAGGAGGAGAGGGCGAAGTGTATGAAGGTGTTGAAGGATGAAACCAAGCTGTCCTACTTATTCTAAAATTGTAGGGGAGGGGGGAAGGGTTGAGTGGGTGTTTACTGGTGTGTACTCTCGAGGGAATAATGAGGAGAAGGAGATATTGGAGGGAACTTGATGCATGTAAGCAGAAATGGGGTGAAATGGGTGGACTTTAATATGGTCTTGAGAAGGGAGAAAATGAGTGGAGAAAACTTTTCGAGCACTTGGGCCAATGATTTTAAAGATGCTTTGGATAGGTTGCATTTGGTGGATGTGCTATTAGTTGGGGATCAGTGGACATGAACAAATCAGAGAACTCCATCCTTCATGTTCATGGATTGACTGTTTTTTTATCTCACCTAGTTTCCTATTGCAACTTACAAGTGTTTGTCAGAAACTTTTGCATCCTTCATGTCCATGGATTAACCGTTTTTTTATCTCACCTAGTTTCCTATTGCAACTTACAGGTGTTTGTCAGAAACTTTTGCAACATTCCATTTCAGATTATTTCCCAATATATCTGGAATCTAAAGGCATAAAATGGGGACCTATACCATTCTGGTTGGACAATAAATGGTTGAGGGTTGATAAATTTAGGGGCTTTGATGTGGGCACAGATGACTTAAACTATTCAACCAACCAACCAAGTCAAGAAAGGAAACAACCCCTAAAGAAGTTAAAAACACAGGGGAAATCTGTCCCCACCCATGAGAGATTTTTTCTCACTCGAGAGATTTTTCTCTCCAAAATGAAAGTTTCCTTTTCTACTCCATATATTTCTCAAGTGGCAAAAAAGAAACCATGATCAAGAAATTTTGAAAATTCATCAAGAGAAATCAAGATCATATTTTTCTAAGTTTACAAGTCAATATCGTATCTTCCAATGAGAGTATATTCACATATAAGGAAAATCAAGGGAGATCATGGATGAATTTTAAACATTTATCGCAAAATCATGAATGAATTTACTTTCCTAAAGAATTCAAAGATCTTCATTAAATTAAAAGATTTTCTTTAAATTACAAAATCTTTCTAAATCAATCAATCTTTCAAGAAAAGATGAAACTAAATCTTTAATCTTTAAAGGAAGATATCTCCACAATTAATTAAGATATTTTCCATTTAAAAAGATTTTTTCATAGGGAGATCATATCTATTATATTTTAGTTGTAATTCTCTTAATTTTGTTTATTTTCTTATTCAAGTTTGCAGTTAATTTTCTATGTAACTTTTTCATAAATTTAGAATTATTATTTTTTTATTATTCACATATCTTACACTATAACAGGTTATTAATTGACATTTGTTTTCAATCAAAGTTCGAGAATAA